AGACCCTCATGAATGAGAATAGGGGAGGGGGGGGGGTATTTTATTGTGTTCTTAGTTACCCAGGTGTTTAGGCTATTTGTGAATCATTGACGTCCTCGGCTTTTCTTAGTTTTTGGATTATCCTGTCTTACTGCGTTGTTCCAACTCTCTATTTGTATAGGCCAATTTCCTGCCCCATGAATTTCGTCTGTCGCCTCCTCGTCGTCTCGATGAGTGATCTTTTTATGATTGCCGTTTCCAGAACTTTATAATTATTTTGATCGAATTTATTTAGCGCACATTCCCCCTCTACAGCAAACTTTACGGCGCGCTTTTCAACTTCATGCATTATTATCCAAGTAGACCCTAGAATATTGAGAAACATTCCTTGCTTCTAGGAAAGCATGCCTCGCTCATTACTTCTTAATTTTTCTTGTCTGTCCATGGTATTTTCAACACTCTGCTTATGAACCACATTCTTGCTTTTACATCTTTTAATATTGTTGTCGATTGTTGATTGTCCAGCACGCACACCCGTATAAAGGAACTGATAAAATGTACACTTTCAATACTCTGAGTTTGAAACCAGAATCACTATTTCTGTCTGACGTGGCCAGCTTTAAGAAATATGTAATACGGCTGTGACTATTTGAGCTATGGATGGACAAAGCAACTGGAGAGATAACATAAAGGCATGTCTTGGCCTAAGTATGGCAGAGTGTATAACGGCAGCTACGACCGTAAGCACTGCAGGTCATTGCACACCAACCCCCAAGCCAGAGATGATGATGATGATAACATATTATTATTATTGTACCTCCTGGTAACCAGGTGTTCGTTTTGGGGCTTTTGGTGTAGGCCTACTTCTACGTTTTCCATTTGTTGTTATCATGTCGCTACGTTAGAATTACACAGTTCTATCTGCCATCACCTAATTTGTGGAAATTTGACGTCAACAATTTTGAGTTTCACAACATGTCAAGATTTTTAGAATGCAATTCTTTGAACATCTTGATAACGACTCATAACAAGCGTACGATTCTGATAGAGCAGATAGAACATTTGATTTCTGACCCCATGGTCTTAGTAACACAAAACGGCCAAAATATGTCAGACAGAATTAGTAATTCTGAGGAAGTAATGTAAGTAACCCAGATATATGAACTTGTTAAACTGTCTTCTCTGTTTTTACGAGAAGCTATAACCTTGCAAATGTAGAAATCCCCTCAAAATAGATGGTACCAACTTGAAAAAGGAAAATAACCCAGTGTATCTTGGAGTACAACTTGACAGCAAGCTCAACCTGAAACAACACACCAACAACCTCAGGAAGAAG